GGAGGTTCAAACGAGAACCCCTGTAATTTACGAGAACGCGAGAACAATCTAATAACCTCTAACTTTTTTAATTAATAAATTAACTTATATTAAATATAAATAAATTAATAAGGGCAGTAATGTAATTAATTAATTTTTATAATTTTTATTTTATTTTAATTAGTCATAATTATCCCTTTTTTTCTTGCACGTTCTTTTCCACTCTCTTCTCTCACCTTGTGATAATTATGTGATTGTGTAACCATAACCTGTCGAAACCATGATCAATCAAGTGTAACCAAAACCTATCAAAACCATGAGTAATCGTTGTGATAAATGTGTGATTGTCTAACCCTAACTGATCGAAACCATGATCAAATTGAGTGCGCAAGTGATGCTATAATAGTGATATCACATGATTATCACACCCATATCACATCAAATCGTTTAGTGGATTTCACCCGTAATCATTGTGATAAATGTGTGATCGTCTAATCCTAACCGATCGAAACCATGATCAAATCAAGTGTGTTGTTATGATAGTGATATCACATGATTATCACACCCATATCACACCAAATCGGTAGTCGATTTTCTAAGTTAACCCTAGCCGAGCGGAATCCTTGTGATAATTGTGTGATAATCACGTGATTATCACACCCAAATCACACCAAATCGTGTTGATATAAGCGATAATATGATAATTGTGTGATAATCACATGATTGATTGAATGTGATTTTCACGGTTTATACAAATTGGGTGGTTTTATTTGAACGCTCCTCTCTATTTATATAAACTTTTGAGAATTATTTGTGTGTTTAAATGTCCATGATATGATGTTAGATATAATAATAAACAAATAAATAAGTAGATATATATAAATGAAAACACATAAAGAAATTTTAAAAATAAAAGTGTTTCAACTACATCTTTTTATTACAATATTAAATGATATTGAGACCAAAAAGTTTGATGAAAACATGAATTGAGCAGAGAGACTTGAGATCATGTAAGACCAAGGGTTTTTCGCAAGATCCGTAAGAACAATTCTCAACCCTTGGATTAGATCTACAATCTGAACATTCATAATCATAAAATTGTCATAAGACTTCTCAATAATCACAAAATTGCCACCATGCAACTTTAGACCATTAGATCAACTTATAAAGTTGATCAATGAACATAAATTGGTTTTACGGGTCTCACAAAAAACCTTTGATCTCACGTAAACCCAACTACACACACACACACACACACACACACACATATATATATATATATATATATATATATAATTGAAGGTGTTTGGAAATGAAATAGAAAGTATCGTACCTTATGTATATAGCTTAGGTAGTTGGTTCACTTGGTTGAGCGGAAAGCTCTAAACCGAGGATGCTCATCTGATGAATAAAAATAGATAATAAGAAGTAATGAATAGGCTGTTGATGTGAAAAGTAATTGTTGTTTTAATTAAGAACTAGTTATTCCACTTTGGATTGTAGGTGTAGATCTCCACTACCTACTACCTATATTATATATCATATAATGACAAACATTATTTAATAAATATACCACATACCATCATATCTATTACCAAACCATCCAGGTTGTACACCAATAAAGCGGTATCGGTCTAGGTGATATTCTCCGGGAGTAGTAGTTTGAAAAGGAGAGAGATCCCCACCAATTATATGATTCCATGACCTGTAATAACCCAAACCATCATCTTCTTCATCTTCATCATACACAAGACTCACCCCACACTCCCTTCTACTAAGATTAGGAGACCCCGTAAATATGGAAATAGTAATTTGGTCACCATCTTCCATCTCATTCTTCCCAAATATCCAATGGCTTAAATATGTTATACCCTCTCTACTTCCCTTAAACCCCTCTGAAGCCTCATAGATCCAGGTGCACATCTTTGTTATATTACTAATCCTTATATTTGAAATATAAGCAAAGAACTCTCCATCATTTGTTATGAACTCTCCAGGAGTAAACACGCAGCATAAATTCAAGCCTCTAAGGTTGCAAGGAGATGATGGGATGGTAAATGATATTGATGACCCCTCCCTTCTATCACTTATCCAATTTGGCATCTCTTTCCCCACATACCATGTGCTGAATATCCCAAATTCATAAACCATCTGCCAAATAAAAGCTTCATTTATTATATCTACATATTAATCACACAAACAAAAATAGTTAATGAGAACAAACCTTGACTCTTACTTTTACACCTTCTTCCGTTGGTTGAATTTTAGTGAAGTCTAAATTAACTAAATGACTCCACCCCAAACTACGTAATACCTTTTCCTCAACATCTCTCATATCTTCCTCTTTAACAATGCCTTCAATATTTTCCCTGCCATTTTCACCCACCACCCTATAGTTTAACAAGACGGGGGACATTTCTTGATTAAATATAGCTTCCCCATCTCTAACAAAATCAAATGCCAGTTCTTTTAATGTAGGTGGAGGATGCTCCAATGACTCCAGAAGATTCTTACGAATACTAAGTATCTCAATCCCGGAAAGGCTTTTCACCCAATTGGGCAGTGAAACCAAAAGATTGTCATCTAAATACAACTCTTTCAACATGGATAAGCTACTCATGTCCATCGGAAAGGATTCGTTGGACAAATTATTATTTGCTAGTGACAAATATACTAATGAACTCGGTAGATAAATCAGACAGGACTCGAAAGCTCTTGGTATAGCCTCCACAATGGCAGAGGAAGAGGTTTCTGAGTTCATACCAATGTTGTTACAGTTCGGCGTTTCCTCCACGTCATCCCTCATCTCGATCAGAGTTTCACCGAGATTACAACCATCTAAATTTAGAATTTTGACGTTTTTCACCTTGTTTATCATTCTTAAAAGCTTCCCAGCGTTATTGCAGTAACTCAGATCAATGAGGTCAAGTCCATCATATTGCTCAATTGACTCACAAACCTCAATCAAACTTGAGCAATTTGAAAGTATTAACCTCTCAAGTGCAGGGAAT